TTTTTTTTTTTTTTTAATTTCCCATTTAGTACTGGACAAAATCTGGACCCATTTGGTTAGGCTGTCAATTATGGGTGACACGTTCTTGACCAGCCATCTCTACCAAATGAAATATTTCACATGGTATCATTCATGAAATCAGCTCAGCCGTTGACTTATTAGAAACTTGATTGATGGACCGTAGCCCATATATAAACCACCAACAAATAGGACTATCCCAATCAATATTACATTCAAGTTCTTAGCTACCAAAGAATAAGAGGGCCGTAATTCATTAAGTGTTGATCTAACTAATTTAATGTGCTGCGAGAAGCCGCTGATGCCGAGTCCACTCCAATGCCACTAGCTATGCCATGCTTAGTCCTCCGACTCGGCTCTTATGCCACTAGCTATGCCCTGCTTAGTCCCTGGCATGGTGGAGATTCTGTAGCACATCATGAGCACCAAGCTAACAGTCGGTTGAGCAACTCAAGCAAACCGTCGTACCTTACATAGGTACAGAAGAAGGTTGTGAACATGGCTTCATCATCCACCTCTGGTCGGATGAATGGAGAACTGAGGAGAGGTAGGTAGGAGGAAGTGTTCTACCAAAATGTTATTTTTTTTTTGCTTCAAATTTTAAGAAATTACATCTCTTAGGGTTCCACCCAAACTCCAAGTACGTGAACGTCAAATAAATACATCTAAGATATAACGAGAACAAACTAAGCTTTATATATGAACGACTAAACGTATAATCCTCCATTTCGTTTGGTTCGTTGTTATCTCTATACTCAAAAATCGACCAAAGACGGCTATAATGTAAAAAGAACAGCAGCAGCATCATATAGCTGTGAAATAAATAAAATAACATTGTTGACAACAGAGAAGATGCAATGTATCCCTCCTATTTTAGCTGTCACTAAAATTTCTTATTTGATTTTTGAACGACGAATTTTTCTTACAAAAGAATATACCAACAAACCAAAAGAATCTAGAAAGACAGAAATTACAAAACTAAAAGGAAAACCTGGTAATGTAACGAATATCACCATTTCGTGCCGATTTCCTATGCTTCAACAATGTCACACGTACGTGTCGTATTTTTTGATGCATTCTCCTATAGAGCGGTTTTTTGGGTCCAGTTATAGTAGGAAAGCAAGGACAGGACACCTTCATCTCCACGAAGCAGAATTTCCACACAGCTCCAACTCAATGTCCAGCTTTCACATTCCATGAAGTAATATAAGGCATCTATCTCGGAAATGATTCACTATGGATTTACAAGTTTAGTATTAAACCTACCCACATTTGAGTTACTCGACCTGCTCACCAATTAAGTCGAGCCCCACAAGCAGGAAAGATATGCCCTGAAAGAGCAAGAAATAAAAATGGATCCCTTGTGCAGACAAGAGACTTCTCGCTGAAGCTGTCAAAAGAAGGAAAGCTAGTGTCAACTCCTTGGTATATATTCGGTTGTGCTTCTTCTTCCGATCAGCCCTCTGCTCCTGCTTTTTAATTTCCTCTCGCATTTCCACTAAATTAGGCTCTGAGCTACCTCTTTGGTGCTTGGGATGCTTCTCAACCAAGGAACTAAGATCACCCTCTGAGGACCGACCAGATTTTTTAGTGACAACCCACTCGTATGCACTTCCAAGTTGAAAAAGGCCAGAGATCATAGCATTGAACTTTGTCACCGACATGGTATTCTCAAAAAGAAGGTAAGGCACAATGAAGGGGAACGACTTTGGTGCTGGGAGTATATTCAGAAACGACATTGTTGCGGGTACGTAACTGACAACCCATGTTGGGAGAGTAGCCTCCGGAATGAACATAGTCATAGGAAGAATGATGCAAAATAGAGTGAATGAATAAAACGGGAGTATCAGCTTCCTTAAAAGGAAGAAGAGAAAAATCATGTTGCCTTTCTTCCAAATACTGATCTGCATCAACAAATTTAGCAAGCAAATAAGCAAAAACATATGAAGTCTACTTCAATTCCACCACACACAAAATACAATGCACTTTGTTCATGTTCCGTACGCAAGAATAGACATGACTTGATAGTGTACAGTAAACAAGATTTTAATTTCTTCTTGTTAACACGAATCATCCCTATCAAACATGTCTCCACATACCTTTGATTGAATGATATCTGGAATACAGAGACGGAACAACTGCATAGGCCCCGAATGCCATCTGTGTTGCTGCTTCCTGTAAGCTTCATAAGATTCCGGCAATTCACATTGACACTGATATTTTAAAAAAAAAGAAGAGCGACAAAAAATTAGTTTGTTTCCCAAAAGAATATAAATATAATGACCCAGGATCAGATTTTTTAAGTAAAATACCTCCACGTCATTGAGGAAGACGAACTTCCAACCTTTGAGATGAGCACGAACAGCGATGTCCATGTCCTCGACCGTGGTCCTCTCCAACCATCCACCAGAATCCTCTAATGCTTTTATCCTCCATACGCCAGCAGTCCCATTAAACCCGAAGAAGTTAAGAAAAATTCCGTTCACCTGCTGCTCCACCTCAAAATGAAAAGCTAAATTAATGAGTTGCAATCTCGTTAGTAGGTTTTCATCCTTGTTCACAAATGACCACCTTGCTTGAACCAATCCTAGCTCCTCGTTATCCTACAATTCAATGTGAGGACAAAACATTTATATTCTGAACCATACTTGCACAGTTTTGACATGTTTGGTACACTTGATTGCACAGGATTGGACAGGATTGAAAAAGAAGTTAAAATCTTATTTATTGTCCAATCCAATGCATCCTGTACCAAACACACCATTATCAGGAAATCAACTACTAAGCAATAAATACAGAGCCAATAAAAACTTTAATGACAATGTAGTTCCATTACAAAAAGTAAACAGGAAATCCATGAAGCATCACTTTCTGGATGTGAATTTATGCTTGCATTGGAAATTAAGGGGACAAACAATTAAAAGGAAAATCCATAATTATAATTCCAATTCCAACCTACTTTTATGAAGAAAAAAACAAATAATAATAATAAAATAAAATTAGGGAGCTGAAGAACACCTTAAAGTGAGGAACAGTCCTTTTAAGAAAATCCGGCATAGGCTGAAAATCAGCATCAAATATGGTAACAAATTCATAATCCTTAACATAGCTGCAGTTCATTGCAGACTTGAGATTGCCAGCTTTATAACCCTCCCTAATCACTCTGTGACGGTACACAATGTTGGCACCTTCCTGCTGCCATTTGTTCACCTCCTCGTTGATCAAAGACTGCGTTGTGGGGTCATCTGAATCATCCAAAATTTGAATCAACAAATTCCCTTTAGGCCAGTCCAAATTACACACTGCCGCAATAGATTGTTGGTAAACCTATCACAATTCGCAATGAACAACAAAACAATTCAATTCACGCTACTAGTAACAAAACCAGGAGCACAAAAGTTATGCCATTAAGAGAATACTGGCGGGAGCTCAAAGAGGTTTATTTATAATTAGTAAGTAAGCTTCAAAATTAGTACCTTTTTTATTGATCAAAATTGGGAATAATTAAGTTCCAAACATGCTCTAAATTGGGATGTCAAGATATATTAGCAATATAAAAGAAAGAAAGATACCTCTTTTTCATTGCACATGGGGATCTGAACTATGACCATAGGGAAATAGCCATCACCATCTCCAGACTCTAGATCTACAATTTTTTGGTTGCAATCTGGCTTGATTTTCTTGAACTTGATCCAGAAGCAACCCAAACAAAGAATTAGCCTATCCAAGCTTTGGATTAGGAAGAGAACTATACACACATTAGCTAAGAACTGCAGAGGTGGAGCAAGATATTCCATCCTGATTAAAACCCAGTTAGAATAGAGGGAATCAAACACACTCTTCACAGCCAAAGGACTTGTCAAAGTGTAGAGGTACTGTAACTGAAGATCTGGTGCACCAAAGTGCCACCCTTTGAAATATGCAGCCATTTCAAAACCGAGCAAGAGTAAAGATAGCCAGAGGAAGACTTTAATGCAGGAGTAAAACCGGGACTTGACCGCCGGGTGTTCGATCTCAGTGGTGTCGGTGGAGTCGGTGCGGCCGGAGGCGACGCGGCGGCGTATGACGGAGGTAAGGGAGAAGAATGTGGATGCAATGGAAGTGAGGCAGCCGGCAGCCTTGTGGGCTTTCAAGAGGAGAACCCATGTTAACTGCTTGGCGTTCTTGTTCCGGCCTCCTTTGGGAACACTATCGTTTGTGTACATAAAGTCTTCCTCTGAAGGAGATTCAAGCTCCACCATGGACCAGTTATTTGGGTTCTCCATTTTCACAACCACAGGGGTCCCCCTGTGAGTATCCTTCGCCCACCAGTACAAAGATGGTGCCATTTTATACAAGACCCAGACGAAGCTTCAAATGTGAAATTTTTAAAGAAAGATCCGAAGATCGGATTTTATGAATGAAATGTAAAAAACCTGCTAAGCAGAGGCCAAAATATCAAAAATTTAAGAGGCTTTTTAGTGTAAAACCCAGAAGGAGAAATACTCAGAATAGGCTGTTTTTTGTGGGTTTTTGAGCTTGAACTGCTAAAACTGAATGTGAGAGACAAATCCAGGAAACGGTGGGAGACGGTGAATGCTACAAAAACTTCATTTTAGTGAGAGAAAGTAAGGGGAAAGGAACGGGACGCGTGGGTTAGGAAGAAGCAGCTAATTTGAGATTAATAAGGGGAAAGAAATTCAAAGAACAAACTCATTTTAAATGCATATTCTTTCAATAAATTTATTACTCTAATTATTATTGCAAATTCTGAAAAGAAAAAACAGAAATAGGATGCGGGGCAATGACAGTCAAGACAGTACAAAAAGTCTATACAGCTTGCAACATAGAGAGAGAAAAAGAAAGAATCAATATTTTGAAGAAGACGTAGAGAGAGAATATGTGTGGTAACAGCTCGACGCGTCTTTGATTTTGATGACAATCTAAAATCAAATTCAAATATATACAGCATTCAATAGTTAATAAAAAAATAATTAAAATGAAAATCAACAGCACCAAATTTTTTTAATTTTTCCAATAATTCAACAAAATTGAAGAATTGCAAAAACGGCCAATCGAAGAATATTACGAAAATAAACAAAGGAGTGGAACATTTTTACTGAAATAAAGAAACAAAAAAAAGAAAAGAGGAAAAAAAAAAAAAAAAAAGAAAAAAAAAAAAAAAAAAAAAAAAAAACTGACAATGAATTATAGGCAATTATTTTGCATTTTCCTTTTCTATCTACCAAATACTGCTTTCCTGAAATGAATGCGAAATTTGGCCAGTGAAAACCCTAATTTTGAAGATCCCAAATGCACAAATTGACTGAATCCTTGGATAAATAACAAGAAGTGTGGAAAATTCAACCTTAACTGCTCCTGGAATTGAATTGTTTCTCCCGTGGACTCAGTTGAATTTCTCATAATCAACACACAAAAATTAATACACAATTCAAACAAACATTTGTCTCTTTCCCAAATAACGGGAGGAGAAGAATGTCACCCAAACCAGAAAATTGACCCCAAAAAAAAAAAAATTAAATAAAAAATGAAAAAAAAAATCCTACAAGTTTTTATAAAATGTAAGTCACGGGCGCCATGGAATGACC